TATATTAAAAATAAAAATATATATAATATAATAATAATAGGGCAGGAAGATAACAAAAATGCAGATTAATCAGTGCAGCACCATAAACTACCCATGCTGGCTGGGGAATTCTGGGAGTTGTCCACAAGTCTTAAAATTGCCAAATTTGGAGGTCTCTGGTGTAGGAAATGCCAGACAGGTGGGAACCCTCTTTCTGCCCGCTATTTCGCACTGGCGTTGGACATAGCAAACTTGTGGATTGAACTGAGCGCAACAACACAGCAATTGTGATTTGTAAAACCTGGTTTAGGGTTAGCAGATTGCATTAACCTAGCCCCAACTCCTACGATCAATGGGAAGGAGTCTGCTAGTACCCTTTCCATCAAATCCATGTTAATGAAAGGCACCAGGGGTCAGGAACTGCAGCTCACAAAAGCTCCATCTTTTAAGGAAAGATGTTCACCTGAAAAGGTACCACCAAGGAGGAACAGCCTGCTCCTCGAGGGGCTCCACTACCAGTGGCCAGTGCATGCCTGGACCTCTCGACAGTCCCACCCAGAGCCACCAGCCTCTTTGTCCTGCAAACTCTCCTGACTGCCCGAGGGAAGCTGCCCTGAAGAGTAAATGCCCAGGGGTTCAAGTGGGGTGGGGCAGGATGGTACTCCTTACAGCTCACCTGTTTGCTTGCTCGGATGTACACTTTTTCCTTCTCGATTTTCACCTAGAAAGAGAAAGAATGCCTTTGTCAACTCCTCTTTTTGTGTTGTACTTTTTGTGTTGTACACTTCAAGAAGTGAGGGGAGCCAAATGTCAACTCATAAAATAATTCTATGGTCTTTTTAGAGTTGCCAACAGAAAGAGAGGGGGGAACAATGTGACAGCTTGCAACCGAAACTGCATTCCATAAATGTTTTCAAAGATAGTAACTGTGATCAAAGTTTCTGCCACGCAAAATTCTAACTGGAAAGTATGATTGATGACTCTTGGCTATGGATGTGTCTCATTGGAGAATATGAATTACAATACACCCAGGGGAAAACCAGGGTCAAGGGTGACAGTGAATTATGTGTCTCAGAGTCGGCTGTACCCAGGCAGTGCCAGACAGTTTAACCCCCAATAAATCCTTTTTAAGTTTTGGAAGTTTGGCTTGAGACTCATGATTTAATTGGAGTTAAGTGCCAGAATCCTGACAGCCTTCATGTTTCATGATGTAACTTTCACCCTCATTAAAATAAGGGTCTGATTATTCTAAACCTAATCCAGCTGCCCCACAACCCAATGAAAAACAAGTTGTCTTCGGGGGAAACGGTATCAAGAGGATGGCAGAAGAAGAATGCCCAACCTGACCCAGCAGAGGCTCAGAATCGCCTCCAAAGTTTTCCCAGATCCAAGGATCGATGGTCACCCCCAACACATGGTCACTTCAGCTTCCCTTGGAAATCTTTAACAGGTGCTGGATCACCATCTCTCGGAGGTGCTCCAGGGCATCCTGCCCGGGTTTGGCTACATGCAGGGGTGGGCTGCCATCAGTTCGCCCCAGTTCAGGCAACCTGTAGCTAACAGGTAGCTAATTTTATGGCCGGTTCAGCGAACCCACATATCCCACCCCTGGCTGGCCCCCCCCCCCCCCCCCCCCCCCTCCCCTCCCCTCTCCTCTCAGGAGTCCCCACGCAGCCCGTTTTGGATGCAGGTAAGTGCACGTGGAGGGCGAAAAATGGGCCTCCCGGAAGTTCAGGAAGGCCGGAAATGGGCCCATTTCCAGCTACCAGAGAGCCTCCAGGGCCCAGGGAGGGTGAAAAAGGCCCCCCGCCATGGTGCAGGAGGCAGACTAGGCCACGCCCACCATGGCCACGCCCACCCAGCAACCAGGCAGAGAAACCCATTGCTAAAATTTTTGAAGCCCATCCCTGGCTACATGACCTCTAAGTTCCCTTCCAATCCTAGGATTGTATGAGTAAGACCAAAGAAAGAGTCTCAGAGCCAAGAGTTGGTTAGGCCTTTGTGGGACAGATCAGGTAGAGCTCCTTATGCGCCATTATGTCCATAGCCGCTGACAAGGAGGCTGTGTGTGTGTGTGTGTGTGTGTGTGTGTGTGTGTTTTGTGTAGACTGTCATCTCCTTTCGGCCCCTCTATAATTTATCTCCATGACCTGGAGGACTGACAGGGCAGAGCTGGGCTCCTCAGGCACCGTTTGGGTCCCAATCTGCCTCTTTCTTGCCCATCCTGACTTTACCTTGGAACCTCAGTTAACCTGGCCAAGGTGTATGAAGGGAAAACTCCCCCACAAAAGTCTTTGACAGCCCCCAGTTCAAGGAGTCCCAGTCTGTAAACTTTTCAGGGTTTCTCAATCTTGGCCACTTGAAGATGTATGGACTTCATGAGGCCTGGGGAATTCTGGGAATTGAAGTCCACCTATCTTCAAGTGGACAAGGTTGAGAAATTCAGGTCTAGGGATTAAAGGGAGTGGCTTTCTGGGATATTGCCCAGGGACCACCTGGCTCAATAGACCGAAGGAGGCAATTTGTCTGACACTCTGCAAACTCGGATGGTGTTGTGGTTTGCTGGCAGCCTGCGGAGACGGCATTGGAATCGGATAGTGGGGAAGAACAGAGACCAATCCAGGAGTCTGGAGACGACTCGGATGAGGATCCTCCGTCCAATGCAGAGATGGGGCCAGGGCCATCTGGGAGTGGGGTGCTGACTCTGGAGCCTCCGGAGTCTGGCAGCAGCGAGGCAGAGGACCCAGGGGAGCCTGTTCCCAGTGCGCATGTGCGCAGAACTGCTAGAAGGCGAGAGCAGCTTAGACAAAAGGGGAGACTCGGGAGTGAGGCTTAGAGGTGGTTGCCCCTCCCATAAAAGTCAGGCCAAGGTGACAAAACCTTTGCAGGAAGCAAAGTAGTTTGATTGGTTCTGAGTCATCCTTGAAGCTCTGTGTACTTTGGTTGTTTTTTTCTTGTACTTCAGTTGGTTTCTTTTATAGTTAATTGGATACTTCTCTTTTCGGCAGCATTCCACAGAATTAAAAGATGTGTGCTTATCTTGGGGGACTGTTTGAGCTTAATTCCAGCTGGGAATGAAAACAATTCCCAGCATTGCAATAAAATAGGTTTTGTTTTTAAAACAAATTTGTGAATAATTATGATTTACAAAGCCTGGGTCAAAACAGATCGGGGTTGGGAGTGGGATGGATAGCTGCAGATTCCCAGGGACAGATGTTGTTTTCCTCAAATTACCGGCTCCTGGCTTGCTGTTAAACTGAAGACCTCTCACCTGGAATTTGGGGAGACTATCCAGCCCTGGGAAGTCTTCGATATCACCAGTGCCGATGTTGAAGCAAGCCCCGTGCCAGGGGCAACGGACCCGGCCTTTGGACAAGACCCCTGCAGGGGGACCCCAAGAAAGAAACAGCAAAATTAGCTCCCCCTCTTGGCTGGAAGTAGGCCAACCTTTGCTGCTTTGAAACAAAAAAGAGGTAGCTGAACAGAAAGTAAGATTTGCCATGAATTAAACATTGCAAGAGGAGAGCTGGGTTAATTCTATAGCAGTGTCTCTCAACCTTAGCAGCTTTAAGAACTGGGCCTGGCTAGTCTAGGGAAGAGAAGGACCACGGGAGACAGGATAGCAATCTTCCAGTATTTGAAGGGCTGCCCCAGAGAGGAGGAAGGGGGTCAACCTGTTTTCCAAAGCAGCCGAAGGCCAGACAAGGAAGAATGGATGGAAACTGATCAAGGAGAGATTCAACCTGGAAATAAGCAGGATTTTTTCTGACAGTGAGAATCAACCGTTGGAACAGAAGTTGCCTTTGGAAGTTGTGGGAGCTTCATCCCTGGAGGCTTTCATGAAGAGACCGGACTGCCATGTATCAGAAATGGTGTAATAGGGTCTCCTGCTTGGACAGGGGGGGTTGGACTAGATGACCTACAAGGTTCCTTCCAACTCTGTTAATCTATATCTGTATCATATGCTGGCTATACAAATGGACAACCTTCATGGGGAGGAGATAATTTTTCAAGATCCTTGTAGACATCCCATCAGGAATCCACCAAGGACCAATTATAATCTAGAGCGGTTTTGCTCACCTGTTTGGAAGGGGGTAGGAGAGGAATAAAACCTACACGCCATGGCTCTGGTGTGGATTAACGAAGGGGGAAAAACAGTCCTTTTGCAGGGACCACCAGAAAGGTTTAAAACATGAGGTGACTGAGAAGCAGACAAACCTACCTGGGATCAAACAACGAGTGACAGGATCTTCTAGTCTAGCGTTCTTACTGCTTTCAAGAGCCTTGCAGGTTTCTTCTTTGGGCAAACAATGGTCAGAACTTCCCTAAGCCTTTTTCAGGCCAGTCTTGCACAGACATCTCCTAGCTCAGGGGTCTCCAACCGTGGCAGCTTCAAGACTTGTGAACTTCAACTCCTAGAATTCCTCAGCAAAGCTGGCTGAGGAACTCTGGGAGTTGACGTCCACAAGTCTTAAAGTTGCCACGGTTGGGGACCCATGTTCTAGCTAACCCCGACTCCTAACCCTGACTCCTGCTCTGGGGCGGGTGGAGTAAAACACACCTTTCACCAGTGGGGCGCCGTAGTGAGGACACTTGTGGCCCATGGCATAAAACTCTCCATTTTCTTTCACCAGCAGAGCCTTCCCACAGCCCAGGTCAACTTCTCGCATCCTAGGGAGAACAAGAAGGAGCATTGTTAAACATCTTTTCCATGCAGACCTGACTTTGCCAGAAGCCCAGCAGAACAAGAACAGCCTGTGATGGGACCCACATGGAAGGAAGTGAGCTTAAGTGAGAGGCAGAACTGTCTGGCTAGATCTCAGCAAACTTCCCTCTGGATGAGCTACATTCAGCTGGTTCTGACCAGTTCTGGAGAGCCGGTAGCAGAAATTTTGGGTAGTTCAGAAAACCAGCCAACCCCACCTCTGACTGGCCCCGCCAACCCCACCTCTGACTGGCCCCGCCAACCCCATCTCTTCTCTGCCTCCCACTGAGTCCCAGCTGATCGGCTGGGTCTCCTTTGGTTGCCCTGCACAGGAGCTGGAAAGCAGGTCAGTGGGGTGGGGAGGGAAGGGGGATTTTGCAGTATATCCTTCCCCTGCCACACCCACCAAGCCACGCCCACAGAACCGGTAGTAAAAAAATTTGAATCCCACCATTCTACACGGCTGTCCTGCAAATCACGAAAACTGGATCCTGTTTTGACCAGCAAGGCTTCCAAAGCAGAGGCAGAAATTAATGCCCAGAATGACACTATGCAAGTTTATTGGTCGGAAATAATCAACGTATAGATAGAAGAGAATATTTGTCACTTAAGGTTGAACTGCAGATCCTTGGTGGCAGGAGTGGGATTCTACCAGTTCGCACCTATTCGCTACAACTGGTTGTTAACATTCTAA